CATTGTTGTGGGTGACAGCGCCAGTGCTGGGGAGGGCGGGGGGACATCTGGCAGATCAAGCTTTTTTTTTTTAGTCCCCTCAGGAATCAACAAATTTGTGCTTCCTCCATTCATCATGAGTCGTCAACTTTTGGTGCTGTTGATATTAGCTGAAACTTTGGTTTCACATCTTGATTTAACAGCAAACTTTAGCCAGCATGCGGTTAAATATATGGATTTACATGAGAGGAGAGAACAGAATGTATGTTCTGCTTTATGATTGACTTTTAAATCAGAGAGAGACAGTAACACAAATTTGTGCTTCCTCCATTCATCATGAGTCGTCAACTTTTGGTGCTGTTGATATTAGCTGAAACTTTGGTTTCACATCTTGATTTAACAGCAAACTTTAGCCAGCATGCGGTTAAATATATGGATTTACATGAGAGGAGAGAACAGAATGTATGTTCTGCTTTATGATTGACTTTTAAATCAGAGAGAGACAGTAACACTGGGCGTTTCTTCCCCTTTCTCTTAAAACACAGTACCTTTGGAAGGCCTGCGGAGCCAAACCCAGTTCGACGAAATGAGGGCGAGTTACATCAGAGAGCTGGTCAAGGCCATTGGGTTGCGACAGAAGGGGGTTGTGGCCAGTTCCCAGCGTTTCTATCAGCTTACAAAACTCATGGACTCCATGCATGATGTAAGTAGAGGCCTATTCAGGCTATTTTTGCTCCACGTAGTCTGCCTATTAAGGCCCTGATAGATCATATACATAAGGTGTGGGAGACCTCTTAGTTAGAAATTATGCCTAGTAGGATTTGCACCCACCTGAGGGTCAACAAGAAGGGGATGCTCCAGAAGGATTACATTCCAGATTGCCTCATGCACATGTAAGAATGATAGATCAGAGTGGATTCTTTTTTCACTTCAGACTCCATAGGTAGGTGTGTTTTGTTGCTTGCAAGCTATTTATTTAAATTTAGGCTCTCCAAAGGTTGAAGGAAGGTCAGTGAGAGAGCACATGCTTTGCATATAAATGTTTCAAATTGAGTCTCTAGCATCCACTGCCAGGGAATACCGAAGTACCCTTTCTTTCGGACAACCTGGAACAACATTGTCAGTCGCTATACAGAGCTAGATAGACCAGTGGTCTGATGTAACTTAAGGCAGCATTGTTTGAAAAAACACATAAACGTTTACTCCTTACTGGAAGTAATTGTTATACAAATAGTTTTGATTGCTGGGCATCTGAAGAGATTATTTGTAGCTCCAAGCACCTAAAAAGTAGCAAATGAACATTTATACATTCCATTTAAGGAAACCTGATGTTCCCATTTCTCTCAAGTCACTCTAATAGTCCCTGTTCAGTTACTTTTTCAACAACAGTACCCGAGTGCTGTGAAGTGCTGGCAAACCTCTGAATGTTGCATACCTGTTTGTTCATCTTGTTATTGCCTTCACCACCCTGCAACAGAGCATGAGGCACAACACATGACAGCACGTGAACTGAGTGACAGACCTCCTCTACTCCATAACTACAAAAGGAATGAAAGTGTTACAGTTACTTTTGAAAAAGCTTGAAGATATCACTTGTTAATTTGCAATTCTAGCGCTTGTTACTGGAGAAGGGAGTTGTTATTTGTAAGCCCTGGCTGAGCCTCATCCTGTACCAAGAAAGATTCACAGCATTCCCAGATACTTCTTCTACTCCCCATCACACTGCCTTGGTAATGCGTAGGAACACACTGTATATGTTGTTCCTTCCCATCCTGCAAAAGGGGTGGGGACTCTCTCTGGGCAGAACGTGGGCTGGGGAGGGGTTTGGAGAAACAGGGGAGATGGAGGACGACAGAACATGTTTTGCATAGCTTATAGTTTCGTTGTGTTGCTGCCAGAGCATAACCATGGGCCTCTCTTCAGCAAATTAGAAGCTAGGCAGTGGAAGTCCAAATTGATAACCAGAGGGCCAAGCCAGCAGGCATGACCAAAGTCAGGTCTGAAAAGGAAGAGCAGAAACACAATGGATGGCAGAACTGAGTTACACTTTCCTGCACTGCTGTAATGGGAAGCCCTTTATATTGCTGGCTGCGGCGGGGGGGGGGGGGGAATTAATCCAGATCTTGAAGTTTTCTGAAATGTAGCCATTGAGGGCTGCAGGTATGCATTGTGCCCTGAGCGATCTCGGCCATTCCTGAGAGAACCAAGTCAGTGCAACAATAGAAATGAAAACTGAAGTAATCTGTGGTCCAGATCAGTTACTTGTTACATTTTAGAAGTCGTTTGTTAAAGTTACTTGATAGGCTAGATGTTGCACATTACCTGACATGTTATATGACACGTTCTTTCAAAGTTACTTTTTAAACTTCCTTTTAAAAACAACTTTCAAAAATGATTAAATGGACTCGACCCCCTGGAAACAACTCGAAAATGCATTATTTCAAAGCAATATGCCTCTTGTCAACGCAAGAATCTAATGGCACTATAAGTCTCCAGATGACTGTTGAAAAGTTAGACCACTAACCTCTTTTTGGTTTTCAATAAAGGCAACATGTCACCCGTTTTAACAGATAATGACATGATACATAATATTTTACTTGCCAGCTGTCTCTCTGCTGCATGTATAATGACTGGTATGTCTTGTGTTTTTAAAATGCAGCTTGTGAAACAGCTCCATCTATACTGTCTGAACACATTTCTCCAGTCCCGGGCGCTGAGTGTTGAATTCCCAGAGATGATGTCAGAAGTGATTGCCGCACAGTTACCCAAGATCTTGGCAGGAATGGTGAAACCGCTTCTCTTTCACAAAAAGTGAAAACACGTCTCCTCCCGTTCTCTTGTTTGTAAAGATAATGCATACAAATGCACATTTAAAAAAAATACGTGGAGCTGGGGGAAGGATTTTAAGTGCTGAGATACTTGCAGTCATTGTCCCACTTCACATGCATACCAAATTATGGATTGGATCCACACTTAATCATACATAGAGGAGACCCACTGAGATTAATGAAACACCTATGGGTCTTCACTAACCTAGGTTTAATTCAGTGAGCTTTACTCTAAATGTGACTAAGTTTGCATTCACCCCATTTTGTCTGCAAGCCTTCAAATGCTGCACCGTGTCCTCCATATGGTGGCCTTTTAAATTCCTTTGCAAAGTGTATTTTTTAAAGCATGACCAATGTTTGTCATAAGACATGTTTTATAATAGGCCTGATTGGATTTCTGCTGAGGAATATATTAAAACCATTTTTGTTTTGTTTTTTTAAACAGGAATTTATTACCTTGTACATTTTCATATTATTCATTTTTAAAATCTGGCAATGGAGTAAAGCTTTAGCCTTGAATACATTTGTGTGTGTGTGTGTATGTGTGTCCGCGCGCGTGTGTGTGTGTGTTTGGCTATACGTGTATATGTACATAAATTTCAAAGAATATGATGAAATTAAAATGCAGATTATCTTCTAAATTCAGTCTGTGTCTTTTTCTGTCCAATGTGTTTTGTTAACTCACTCCCAAGGATCTGGCGGAGGCCTTTCAGTGCCAATAAGTGGGCATACAGGGAAGAGTGCATATGAAGTTTTAAATGGCTCTTGCTTCAGTTACTTGTAAAGGCTTTCTTTTGGAGGCAACAAGGAAATAAAAGTGTCCCCTTTGAGAAACACTTGATGAATTTTTGAAGTGTATCAGGTAGCATTACTCATTTTCCTGAATACTAGCTTCTGGGGGCTCATTTTAGAGGACTTCTGGCAATTTTTGTATTTCTCTCTCTCTCTCTCTCTCTCTCTCTCTCTCTCTCTCTGTGTGTGTGTGTGTGTGTGTGTGTGTGTGTTCGTGCATGTCACTGAGCTGTGCGGAAATAGTGAGGAATAGTGACCATGCTGCGATCTCTTTCACTATTCATGTTGTGGGGAGAGTGTCAAGCAAATCTGACACAAAAAAACCTTGATTTCCGAAGGGTGGACTTCCCGCAGATGAGGAAACTAGTTAGAAAGAAGTTGAAAGAAAAGGTTAAAATAAAAATTCCAATCTCTCCAGAGCGCATGGAGTCTGTTTAAAACAACAGTAGTAGAGGCCCAAGGTCCGCATAGTCAAAGTAATGATTTTTCCAGTAGAGATGCATGGAAGTGAGAGCTGGACCATAAAGAAGGCTGATTGTTGAAGAATTGATGCTTTTGAATTGTGGTGCTGGAGAAGACTCTTGAGAGTCCCCTGGACTGCAAGGAGAACAAACCTATCCATTTTGAAGGAAATCAACCCAGAGTGCTCACTGGAAGGACAGATCCTGAAGCTGAGGCTCCAATACTTTGGCCATCTCATGAGAAGTGAAGACTCCCTGGAAAAGACCTTGATGTTGGGAAAGTGTGAAGGCAAGAGGAGAAGGGGACGACAGAGGACAAGATGGTTGGATAGTGTCATCAAAGCTAAACTCTGGGAGGCAGTGGAAGACAGGAGGGCCTGGTGTGCTCTGGTCCATGGGGTCACGAAGAATCAGACACGACTTAATGACTAAACAACAAGTAGAGGCCCAGCAAAGGTGTATACTGCTAAGAAGGAAGGGCTCAACTAAATCCAAGAGGATGCCAGCATGGTTAATAAGCTTTTATTATTCCCCTTTATATTGCTGGCCATATGTTCCTGACATATGACTATTTCGCATTATGACCAGCTCCAGCCGCAAAATTTTGCTTCAAGTTGTGGCCACAGCTTCCAGTTAGGAACAGAAAAAGGCAGGGGGAGAAGGCAGGGAATTCAAATTGCTAACCGTTGGTAGGCGAAGAGGCTGCTTCTTTGTAGCTCTTTCACCCCAACGGTTAGAGTGAGTGTGATCAGAGGCGGCTTCAGACTGCCTGGTAAAGTAAGGTGCTGCTTTCTGCTTTTAAAACACTGTTTTGGGTGGGTTTTGCAGTGTGGTTTTGGGCTGGCTGGTGGGACACAGTTTCTATACTGTGATGGGTCTTGCACGGTTTGTTTGTTTTTTGGTCTTTTTCCCCCATTCCCGATGGGTTTTGGGGGGTTTGCTTTTTACTTTGCTTTTTTTACATTTCCGAAGGGTCTTGTATGGTTTGTTTGCTTTCTGTTTTGTTTTTTGTTTTTTGTTTTTGCATTTCCAATGGGTCTTGCACAGTTTGTTTGCTTTTCTTTTCTCCCCCCCCCCCTTCGGCCGGAACGGGTTAATCACATTTCCAGTGGGTCTTGCAAGTTTTTGTTTGTTTGTTTGTTTTGATTTTGGTGATTCTGTTCTTCAGCCGGAATGGATTAATTGCATTTCAATACATTTCTATGGGAAATGGTACTTCGACCTATGACCATTTTCAGTTACTACCAGAGTTCCAGAACCAATTAAGTTCGTAAGTGGAGGCACCACTATACAACTTGTCCCTTAAAATGGCCACAGTGCCAGAGGACTAGAGGATAGTACATGTCACACCTTTAAAAAGGGAAGGAGGGTGTGTGTGAAACTACAGGCCAGTTCGTTTAGCAGCCGAACAGATGTTTGGTATTTCAAAGTCCCACCTCCTCTGGTGGATGCTCACTTAGAGACACAAAGGAGGGAGAGCTACTGTCTCTAAGTGGCCTCTAAACAAACCAACATAAATAGCTAGCTGAATTGGTGGTTTGTGGCCATCTCTACTCATGACACTTAGTACTGTATGGAAAAGATTGTCCACGCTATGGAAGAGGACCTCAGTAGAGAGAAGTGCTGTATTTCTCTCTGTGTGTGTGTGTCTGTGAATCCACTGTTTATGATTTGTAATGTGTTGGGGGGGGATAAGAGTTATATATGGATTTTAAACTACATGGGGATCCAGTGCGCCTAACCCTAGTGTTGTTGAAGGGAGAAGTGTACTTTTTTTGCACTACATTTCCCAGAATCCACCAGCCCTAGACTGGTCAGGTTCGGGGTAATGTACATTGTTTCCACTTATTTCCACCCTATATAACTTCAGGTTAGGCTGAGACATAATGATTGGTCCAAGGTGAATATCACGGATTCACTTGGCCCTGATCTGTTTAGCTCAGGGGAAAAAACCTGCCCAGATACTGCTTGACTCCCCAGGAGTCTTAGATAGGGTAGCCAGTGGTTAGGGATTATGGAAGTTGTGGTCAAAATTATCTGGAGAGTTATTCAGCAGTATCCAAATCGGACACCTAACCATGGTGCCGAACTGGCTCCCATTGCAGTTTGTTTTGCAGGATAGAAAATAAAATAAAATACAAAATTGTTCAACGGGACAAAGCATCTTGTAGCACTTTTAAGATCGATATGTTTCATTTGGTATGAGCTTTCATGCACTCAGAGCCATGAGATAAAATTTTGAAGCAACTGGCATTCTTCGGGCGAGCAGCTGGTTCCTCGTCCTGAAATCCTGGGAGTGGAGTGGAATCGTCAGGCTGGCCTACACTGCCGAAGCCTTCCTAGCTTTGCACAGCTCAGAAACATGTGGAAACACTGCCGGGCTCAGCCTGATCTGTCAGGCTAATCAGATTTATTCGCCTTGGCTGTTTCATGTCAGGATGACCTAGTCTTCAGTACAGGGCTTGTTTTTAATTTTAACTCCTACCCACCCTTCACTGTAGAGTAGAAGAAGGGGGAAACTCATTTTAAAGGGTTTGAAAGTGGAAAAAAAACTTTTTTTTTAAAAAAAAGGCTGCTTACAATTGAGTTTATTATCTGCCCCTAAGCCTTGTTCAGAGGAAGGTTTCTTCTTGGTTTTTTGGAAAGTAGGCTTGGATTGGTCTGAAACAAGTCTGATTTTGATCCGTAGGGTGGATTGCTGAAAGGAGGCTATGGGAAAAGAAAAAGCAAGAAAAAAGGAGTTTCCTTCAAATGCAGTCACTGGTTTTAAAATGTATGTGGACTCCTTTTAAGCTGAGAGCCAAAGTCTTTCAACAAAAACAACAGTAGCTGGATGTCATCAAGTATATCCTGACTCATACTGACCCTTTTCAGGGTTTTCCAGGTAGAGAATTACTCAGAAGTGGCTTCCTCTTCCCTTCTTCTGGGGGCGTCCTGGGACTGTGCAGCTTGCCCAAGGCCACCCAGGCTGGCTCTTCTCCCTGGAGACACAGTAGAGAATCGAACTCTAGATACCGAAACCACTGAGCTATCCAGCTGGCTATTCTTTCCAAGAAGCTTGAAATCAGAAACAGATACTTGTTCTGTGCACGTAAGACTTTGCAAAATAAAAACACGCAGCTGCTTTTTCACGGGGCTCATGTTTTTGTGCCACAGCTTTCCCAGTTCCTCTCCATGGGGGCCGTTCAAGCTGGGGCCGATGAGCATAAAGGTGGGTGTCGTTTTCATTTTGTTCCAGTTTCTCTCTAGAAGACCAGCAGTTGTAACTTTCTCCATAATTGGGATGGAAAGAGCTTGAGATTTTTTTAAAAAAAAACGTTTTGGGAGAAAGAGAAAATGAAGGATTCATCCAGTCAAGATCTGAGCCTTTCAACCAGGAGTGGGAGGAAGCAGCCCTTCGCCACTCCTGGGGCTCCCCAGCACACCCACACCAAAGCACATTCACACTGACACCCATTAGACAGGCAAGAAAAGAAATGAGTTCAAAAATCTCCTTGTGGCCTCTAGGTAGTCTGGCAGGAAAATTTGCCATGTCTTGAAGGGGTCCCAGTCATTTCGGAAACTAGAGGGCACAAACGGACTTTTTCAGTTTAAAACACTGGGGGGAAATGTTTTTTTTGGGGGGGAGCTGGGGTGGATTTGTGGGAGTATTTTCACCCTGCCAGAGTCCAAGGTATCCATGGGTTTTAGACCCCTGCAAATCATCCACCCCTGCTTGAAACTCTAAATATAGGTATAAAGAGTTTGAATTCCTTTTCAGTTACTACTGCTAAATCAGAGTCAATACCATCACAGAATTGTAGGATTTCTCCTGCAAATGTTACGTTATAACATTAAGTACAAGACAGGAGCAAGAATATAAAAATGCAAAATAAATACAATGCTCTTCTCCCTACAGCCTTCTGTGCTGCCCAAAACGTAGACCAAGAGAGTTTGCTTGCTCTCCAGAGCCAGTTTGGAGGTCAGATGCAGGAGGGTATTCAATTCCTCAGGCTTTTAGTCATTCTGTGGTTCTGCCGTTCTGCCAGTGGCAGTCTACAGTTGGATCCTTCCCTATAATTGCTATGCCAACCATTGCCAACACCTTGAAGTATTGGGGAATTTCATGATGCCTCTCACCTAAAATCAGCAAAACAGAAGTCTAGTATGGTTCTTTCTGTAGGTGGTGAACACCTTTCTCACACCATATTATTGTTATTCCTCATGAAATATCCAGTTATTCATAATCACTCAGAAGATATTTGTCTGCTATTTTGGCTTCAGAAATAAATGCATTTATTTGTCCTATTTGAATATGAATGTGTTATTTTACAACGATGTGAGAAACTGGCGTGGCATTTGCAATGGAAGACGCTGAAATGCTAACCGA